CCCCAACCAGCTCAGCGGGGAAGGAGCCAGGGCCTGTCGCCCCAGCGGGCTCTCGGAACAGCTCCTCCCGGGCTCCCGCATCAGGGCGGAGCCCACAGGGTCCTCAGGATCATGCTGGGATCTCAGCCCCCACCCATCTGCCCCTTGCTCCCTCCGCTCCGGCCCCTGGCCCCTCCTCGCCATTCCTCCAACTTACAAAGTGCATGCCCACCCCAGGGCCTTTGCACGTGGCTCAGTCCGTTACCCCCTTTAGCTCTTTGCTCAAGTATCACCTCTCAGAGAGGCCCCCGCGGACCTCTGTTTAAAGCCGACCTCCTCTCTCAGTGTCCAGTCCCTCTCCCCTGTTTCATGTACCGTTACAACGATCACCCTCAGCTGCTGTGTTTTACATGTGGCTTGTTTGTTGTCGTGTCTTCCCCAGCAGAAGGTACACAACGGGACAGCAGAGGTTTGGCCGTTTTGTGTTTGTTTTAATGCCGTGTCCCCGGTGCCAAGAGCAGTGCCTGGCACATTGCAGTAGGGTTTTCTGTAAATACTCTTAGCGCAATTCTGTGCTTTAAAGCATCGGTTTAATTTTACTTTTAAATAACACCGCATGGGCTAAGCAGAACCTATTTTCAGCCTGGATCCTGCCCGTGGACCCCCACTGCACCCCTATTTGAGGCTCCTTGTGTAAGTCGCACTCCCCACCCCACCGGAGGGTCTGAGTTTTTCCAGATTCCTGACCGAGTGGCCATGGCCTTGGGAGGAGGGGGAGGCGGGGGAGGGGCAGGGAGAGAGACGGAGAGATGGAACTGCCCAGGCACCGTCCAGGCTGGTGGCTGCGTGTTCTGCTGTGAAGCATCTGGTTTCATTCCAAGACTGTGGGGCTTGTGGGGGGGGGGGCGGGGGAGGGGGACTGTGGCATTGAACTCCAAGAAGGAGCTGAGCTCACACAGGTCCCCTGCAGTGCCCTGAAGTGCCTCCTGAAACCGGGGCCAGCCGGCCCCCACTGAGTCACGCTTAGGTGCGTGCTGTGACTCTGAAGCTAAGTGTGTTTTAAGAGCTGTTTTTCAGTTCCGCTAAGATCTGCTGAGATTCTGGTGCGTGGAGGCACAGCACCGGTCCTTAGCAAATAGCACTAAAGCAGCCGAAGGAGAAGTAGGCAGGACGAAACAGGAAAGGGGTGGAAGGAGAGAGGTTCTGAGTCCGGCTTTTCTGGGTGGGGGACGGGTCCCCGGGGCAGTCTAAGACGCAAGGGAGGGGCATCATGGTGAGCGCCGAGCCATGGAGGGGGGCAGAGTGGAGCGAGGACTGGCCCCGCCGCTCGCATGAAGGTGGATCGCGTGCCCACGGCGCCCTGTGAGCTCTGCGACTCACTGGAGCGTGCACTACACGTCACACTCAGGACTGGCTGCAAAGGGCAAATGCAAGGCCCCTTGTGCAAAAGTTGTGACAAGCTTCAAGACGACGACAGCAGAGCCTTACGCCAAGGGCGGGGCCTGTCTGAGCACGGGGTCCTTCTGTGCATGGCACGGGCACGGTGCAACTGTGCGGGGCACAGGCCGGGAAGTGGCCCTGCGGGCGCAGGAGGTGCCACTGCTGAACAGATACAGACCCGGTTCCGGCTCTCATGGGTCTTAAAAAAACGATGGAGAGACAAACGGCAATAATAATAATAATAATAATAATAATAATAAATCACGATAAATATTATGAAAGAAACAGAGTGCAGTGAGAGCAAGTAATGAAGTTTGAGGTGGTGCCATGGAGAGTGTAATCAGGGCAGGCTTCTTGGAAGGGGTGGCCTTTGGTCAGAGACTAGCAGAGCATGTGCAGGCACCGTGCAAGTGACAGTGGAAGGAGGATGCCCTCAAGGCGGCGAGAGCAGCAGAGGCCCAGGCCTGGTGGTGGGAAAGGCCGGGGAGACTGGAGTGTGGTCAGAGACCCAGGGGGAGGGGCAGGCCACGGGGGCCAGGACAGCTCTTTGGGGTCACAGGGAGGGAGGGTCTTAAATCTTACGTGCAATAGGCAGCCTGAAGCATTTTATTATTTTTTCACAAATAAGCGTTTGTTTTTGGAGAGCTAACGTAGCCACATGGTTGCAAATACAGAAGGGTTCATCGAGAACATTCCGCTCCCTGTCTCAGCCCCAGCTACCCAGTGTCTCTCCCCGGAAGTGAGCAATGTGATCGGTGTCTTGCGCGTCCTTTGCAGAGAGAGTTTATTCACGCACAGCCAAAAGCCACACGCACCTCTCCAACTTTCTCTCTGCAAACAGCGTTGTTCTGGAACATCGTAGTACAGCGTGATCTTTGCTCTAGACAACGTGTCTCGGTGCTCAGTCCACACTCGTCATGAAGAGCCCCGTTATTCTTCATGGCTGCATAGTGCTCCACCACACGGACCTGCCGTCACCCAGCTCACTGGGGCTCATTGAGGTGTTTCAGTGGCCTCGTTGACAGACTTCAAGCAGGACTTTGGAAGCCCACTTAGACTCTCTGCGACTCAGTTACTCATCTGTAAAATGGGATGAAAAGAACACCTGTCTCGTAAGGCTTTTGCTAGGGTTGAATGGAATAAAACTCGAAAGGCACTTCGCATGGACCAAGCCCTTGGCATTTGAACCATCACTTTTTGCCGTTGCCACTTTTGTTACTGCAAGGAGACTGTTCCCTGGGGCTCCCACCAGGGCCGTGGGGAAACCCGTGCCCGGGGAAAAAGAGCTGGGGCCTCTGGCGTCCGGAGAGGCAGTTACTTTGTGCTTTCTGAAGTTGCAGCCGCAACACCCGACTTAGGCCATGGCCTTGGCCCTGACTGAGCTGGAGAGGGCGGTCTCTCAGTGTCTCCAGGCAGGGGCCTGAGTGGGTGGGTCTCTGTTTCTGAGTGGGACAAAGTGGGAAAGTGGGGGGGATGGTCTGAAAAGGTCCGAGGCTTGCCCCTGCACTCTCTCCATCTCCATGAACCCCCTCTCAAACCTGAGACCTTGGCTGGACGTCATGGACAGTGGCCCACAGGCAGGGGGACAATGCCTTAGGCTCACGCTACGTCAGATCGGCAGATGTGGTTATGTGGCCTGCCCGGGGTGGTGTGACCAGCCCGAGGGTCAGGACCCCCTTTCTGCTCGCACATGCGGTCCAGCTCCCTAGACGCAGGACCCGAGATGGGCTTCTCGTGCCAGCGATGGCCTCGACACAGGACAGTGGAGACACTGGGCTTGGACGTGGCTTCCCCGGAGCCTGGCCTCAGCCTGACCCCACGGGTGAGTGACTCTGGGACCTGCTGGCGCCCCAGAGCCATCCTGCCTCGAGACAGGGGGGCTTCACTTTCACACTCTCCCCTCGTCAGGAGTTGTGTTTGGGTAGCTCCTGCCCTGGGTGTGGCCTCCTCGGTATCTCTGGCCTCCAAGGCCGCAGTTCTCGTCGGCTGAGGGCCAGTCCCTGGACAATGGTGCTGCTGCGAGCCCTCAGGTGCTACCTTTCCTAGAGGCCGGGGTTGGACCCGACACCTGTGAAGGGCAGCAGCAGTGTCTGCGCGGCCCCCTCCCCTCCCGCTGCGCACCGCCCCACCCCCTGCCGGGATCCGCCTGGGAGCCAGACCCCCTTTCCCTGGGACTGCCTTCCGGTTGTTCAAATGCCCCCACTGCTCAGGCCGTCCCATCTCCTGGCCCAGGCCTGGTCGACGGGGTCAAGTTCACTGCTGGGCTCTTCAGAGCTCTGAGAGCCCTTGGTGGCAAAGCTCAAGTAACGGGTGCTGCCCAGGGCGGCCTCTGGCCTGGAGCCGGAGCTGGGTGGTTTCTGTGGGGTGGTCAGCAGGGAGTGCGGACTCGGCAGGCAGAATTTTAATAGGAAGTGGGTTCTTGGTGTGCGTGGCTGAAAGCAGGAAAGGGCGGGCAGGGTCAGGTTCGGCCTGGAGGGCAACAGAATTTGGAGATCAGAGTTCCTGGGAGGGGTCTGCATCCCTTGTCCCAGCCCTCCTGCCTCCCAGGGTCCTCCAGGGACCCTGCTTCATCTCTGCAGCAGAGCAGGAGGCGGGGCTTTCAGATGGGTGTTCCCCACATGGGGAGGTTCCCCGGTCCAGCCCGGGGCCAGCCGGGGAAGCTCAGCACTTGGGCCTGGGGCTCTGGGCATCCAGCACGGTCCCGGGCGCCCAGGCCAGCCTCACTCAGCTCTTGGCACAGCGATGACGAGATGACGTGAAGGTTCTTTTCAGCAAATTTCTTCCCCAGCAGGAGTCATCTCTCCTTCCTGGCTTTGAAGTGGAAAGAATGAAATCACTAGATTAGTCTGGGAAGATGATGTTAATCACACGGGAGCCGATGGAATGGCTTCTCTGTCAGGGGTTTCTCTCCCACGTGTCCAACCGGGAACCCCACCCGCCTCCGGCTTCACGCACCCGAAGACGTAATCGTCCCACAGGCCGCGGGACAGAGTGATCTCCCTGTCCCCCTCCCGACCTCCCGCCTATTCCGTTTCCCCGGAAACCAGGCTGTGCTGTAGCCAGACCTTTGGGGAAATCGGGACCCCTGGGATCTCTGACCCTACCGCTGCTGGGCGCATGGCCTGGAGTCCGTGCATGAGGAGGACTCGGGGCCCCAGCCAGGTAGTTCCGTTGGCTGGAGCATCAGCCCCGTACACCAGGGTTGCGGGTTCGTTTCCCAGTCAGGGCACATACAAGAACCAACCGATGAGTGTATAAGTAAGTGGAACAACAAATCAACGTTTCTGTCTTTCTTTCTCTCTTTCTAATCAGTATTTTTTTTTTTAAGAGAACAGTATGGCTTGAAGGGAGGGAGCTTCAGCTCTGGTCCATTCCCACCAGTAGGGAGCTGTGACCTCCAGCGGAACTCTCCCTCCTGGGGCCTGAGGTCCCCCATCTGGAAGGCGGACAGGCTGCGCACAGCCCCTGTCTTCTCTGCGCCCCCCGCCCCCCACCCCGCAGTGCTCAGCACAGCGTGGGGCCCGGAGAAGGAAGAGGTGGCGAGTAGCTGGTGAGGTCCTCTCTGGCTTACTGTCTTCCAGGAAACGGGACCCCCGCCATGACCGACGCCGTGTTCAGCAGGGGCTCCAGCCGTTGGGTGTGTCCCAGTGACCGACCCCTTCAGTCCAAGTAAGTCCCCGCATCTTCCCGGGAGGGGCTTGTTTTGGGCCCCCGGGGTCCTGAGTGTCCTACCCTTGAAGGAGGAAAGGAATGGCAAGCAGAGAACTAGACTCTCCTCCCCCGAGGTGGGGGAAAAGGAAGCCGGTGGGAGCTCTTGTCGTGGAAGCTTTTCCACTGATCTCACTGCTTTGCGAGGTGGGGACGACAAGCTGAGACCCCAGGCTACGCACCCCCGACTAAGGTGGCCCGGTGAGTGGCCGGAGCCCGGACCGGGCCTGGAGTCAGACTCAGTTCTGGTTCTCGGTCTTAACGATCAATTTACTGTGTGACCCAGGGCGGCTCGCTGACCCTCTCTGGGCCTCAGTTTCCCCAATCAAATAAGAAAGACGGATGAGGTCAGAGGTGGCAAACTGGCAGGCCACCAGCTGGCCCTGACTTACCAAAGTGTATGTGCGCTGTTATTGTTGCTGTTTTAATTTTTGGCCCGATTGTTTAAAAATTGGGAACTTTCACATAAAAGTGCCTTTCCATCCTGTGCCCGAATCAGAGGGGCGCTCGACCCGCACCTTCATGGCTCATAAACGCTGATGCTCAGTTCCTGGAAGTTTCACAAGCCGGTTGTTAAGCATGGCCATTATTAAACCATACAATTTGACGATTAAACTATATATTCAACGCAAGGTTCATCCCTCCTGATTTCTTTTACTACACTTTATTATTCCCTGCCTTACTTACATCTGCCCCACCTGCGTGGTGAAATGTAACAGAATGGCACGCTCGTGCCTTCCTCTTCCCGGGTCTGCGTTCGGGGACGCCCTGTCGGTTCTCGAAATCAGCCGCAGACTCAGGTGTTAAACCTTGACCAGCACACCCTGCCTGCCGCCCTTGACCATCTGAGCCCGTTGTTTATCGTTCCCGCAGATAGATGTTCGCTCGTCGTGACTCGTTCCTGTGGACGCGTGGCCACTTTTTTATCGTGAGCTCAGTCTGTGGGGCGCTTGGGGATCTACCCTGGGGATACTTTTCTGCGGAGGGATTGGCACTCGCCACGCCCAGGAGCGAGGTTTGCTGCTCACGCAGGTTGGCCTGCGCTCCCTTGCAGGGTCCTGGCTCAGTGGAGAGGGGAGGGGCCTCAGGGTCAGCTCCCTTGCCTCGTTAGGAGCTCGAGGTCAGCCTCCAGATCGCCGTGCTGGGATTTGCACTGGCTGACTGCTCACAGCTCCCCGCTCTGGATTCAGCTCACTGTCTCCTTTTAATCGCTTTTAAAAGTATAAGGAATGATTCTTCAACAGTGCACATCGGCAGTACAGTTAGATCGCTTTACACATGTCTGTGTACTCATGCCCTTTTTTTCTCTCTCCTTGCCCCTCCCATCCCCAGGCAATCGCTCATCTTCCTTCTGCAACTGTACATTAATTTATACTTTCTAGAATTTCGTATGAATGGAATCATACCGTGTACACTCTTTGGGGAGGAGAGCTGTGTCTCTCCTTTCACACAGAATAATTATTTCATGATCCATCCATATCGTCTTGCATTTCAGTGGTTTGTTCCTTGTTGGTGAACAGCACGTTTCATGGTGTGGAGACACAGCGTGTCTATTCATTTTTCTATTGATGGACATTTGGGTGGTTTCCACTTTTTCGGCTAGAACAAATGAAACTTTGTATAGACATCCACTTCCGCTTCTCTTGGGTAAACACCTAGGAGTGGCATGCCTGGGTCACATGGGAGGTGTATATTCAGCTTTTTAAGGAACCGCCAATCTGTTATCCAAAGTGGCTGTACCGTCTTAAACGTCCAGCGGAAGTGTAGGAGAGTTCCCTTCTCCTCGCCGGCACTTGCTGTGACCAGTGTTTTCCGTGTCAGCCACTCTAGGGTGTGGATAGTGGTGCTTCTCCCCCGAGGGACTGGGAGGTCGCTCAGCTTCTTATGTCACTTGTCACCGTACAACCTCTCGGTCGCACTGTCTGCTCAGACGCTTTGTCCATTTTAGACACAGGCCGTTTCTCTTCCTGCTAAGTTCTGCAGGGGTTTTTGCCCGTCGGTTCGAGACGAAAGTCCTTCGCCGGACATGCCTTTTTCACAGCAGATACTTCCTCAGTCCAGCCCTTGTTTCTGTTTTTCGTAACAGCCTTCGGAGGAGGGAGAGTTCCTTTCATTTTGACGAAGTCTATTTTGTTTGTTTATCTTGACAGGGGGAGGGATTGTCGGAGAATTCCCTTGCTTTTCAGTCCCAGAATTCACTGCGTGGAAAGAGTGTTGCTCTGACTCACGCAGGACCTGATTACGCGTTAGTAAGGAGTCTTTCTTTCCCAATGGCTAGTCCGTCCATGTTCTCCGATGCGAAAGCCCCTGTCTCCTTACTTGTTCTTCCTCAAACCTGAGTCTCAGGGTTTTGAAGACAGTCCTGAGCTCTGCTGGTTTCTTTGTTGAAAGGAGACACCTGCCCCCCCCAACCCCCCGCAAAGCCCTTCCCATGACATTCCCTGGGAGCCAAATTATTTTGCAGAAAATATTCCGGCAGCCAAAAAGCGTGCCTCTGTAAGATAAACCGTTGCCTGGAGGGTGGATGGGGTGAAATGTTTATTTTATTTTTGAAATGTCAGTTAATTAAAATCCCATCCATCTGAGTTTACTTTAGTGGATACAAAGCCAAACAATTTGCTTTACCGTTGGATTAGAATTCTGCAGACGGCCAGGCTGCAGTTTTACCCACAGCGCTCCCGGGCTGCCGTGAAGCGTCTTGGCATTCTGAGTGCATCTGGGCCGGCCGGCTTGCTGCCTGCATTTTCTTCAGACATTAAAACTGTTCTCCAATAAATGCTAATGGGTGAATTATAGTCATCACGCATGCTATCTAGTCGGCTGCAGACGCTGCTAATGTCTTTCTCTGGGAAATTAAGAAATCGAGTCCTCATTAGCGGCTGGCTACCCAGATACACGTACTGCTTTCCCGATGTTCAGATGCCTTCCTCTGTCCACCTCTGTGAGTCTAAGAGTGGTGGTGTCTGAAACACAGGCCAGTGCTCGCAAGAGGTAGATGCATCTGCTTCGTGCGAGGGCAGGCCAGCGGTTTAGCTCTTGATGTTGGGAGAACACAGGGAGAGATGCTGGGAAGTTGATGCTTCTCCATAGCTTTTCAGACGGCAAACCAGAGAACCCAGCGATCAGAGGGGGACACGGAGGCGGGAAGAGAGGGCGTGTGGTAGGTGTTTGTCGATGCTCACGCCCTGCACAAACGGAGATGCTGGTCTCCTTTCTGGAATGGAGCTTTGCTTCCCCAAAGAGGGGTGCTGGAAGTTCTACTTTTGGGTGACCCCAGCAACTATTCAGGGCTCGCAGCTGCTGGACCTCCTCAAAGCGTTTGAAACAATAAAAGCCAAGGACGGCCTTGGCCGGGTTGCCATTCAGCGATCTGTCATTACGGGCCCTAAACCCATTCCTTAAATACGTCCATGACCAGCCCGGTTCCCTGGTAAGCTGAGCCGATTGGCCATCTGGAGCAGGCTGCGGACTTCACGGGCCTGCGTCAGTCGCAGCGGCCTTGTTTCAGATGCGCCGGGAGAGGACCATCAAGACCAGGCGGGGAAACGGAAGAAGTAGGTCACTGCAATTTAAACTGTGTGGTTTTGCAGCCAGACGGCCGTTTGGGTATCATTATGAGATTTCTTTCCTGACCTGACTTTTCTTTTTTTTTCCTTTCTCTCCTTCCTCTGCCTTCCTTCAGTGATAAAGAACAGTGAGTATTCTATGCTATTTTGTTTTTCAACTAACTGAGTTGAATTTCTTTGCTGATGCAAGTGGCTTGCCCCTGCAGAGAGACGGTTAAAAAAAGGAACTAGCAAATTTTACATCTCTAAAAAAAAAAATCAAGTGATGAAAAAAACACACACACCCTTTTGAGAAAAAAATTATGAAATTTCTAAAAATATCTTTTTTAAAAGAGTTTGTTTATTTTTAGAGCACGGGGAAGGGAGGGAGAAGGAGGGAGCGAAACATGGGTTGGTTGCCTGTCCTACAGGCACCGACAAGGGACTGAACCCCCAACCCAGGCATGTGCCCTGACCAGGAATCGAACTGGCGGCCTTTTGCTTTGTAGAATGACGCCCAACCGACTGAGCCACACTGGTCAGGGTCAAAAAAAAAATACGCTGATGAAAGGATGGAAAGTGTTGCTTAGGCGAGCCCTCGGTTTCATTCTTGTGAGTACCGGTGGGCTTTCAGCAAGTTTACCCACCGCTCGGGGCCTGCTCCGGCAGCCTCTGCCCCGGAGCGCCGTTCCGGGGTCTAGAACATGCTACCTCGGCTGCCACCGTTCATAAAAGATGGCGACGGGCAGAGCAGAGCCTGTGGGAAGCTACGTGCTACATGCACTGTCCCCGTCACCTCCTGGGAGGTCAGCCTGCCTTCCCAGGGAGCTGCCCCTGGCTCAGAGGTCCTCGCTCCACTCGCAACGTCTGTGTTTCGCATTGGATTCATTCCCCAAATGGGCGTGATGGATTGGAGGCCGAGTCCAGTACACAGACGGCCGGGCTGCTGGGCAGACCGGGCTCTGGTTGCCTGGGCTCCTTCAGAAACCGCGGAAAGTCATCCCCCCCTCCCCAGGGTGGGCACGGTATCCTGGAGCCAGGGTGAGGGGTCCGGCGTCAGAAGCCCCAGCTGAGTGCTGCCCGGGGACTCAATGTCAGTGTGGCCTCGGGCACGCCGTCCGCCTCCCTGAGCCCTGGCTCTCTCCTCTGTAAGGCGGGCGGGACAGCCCTGCCCTCCCTCCTCGCCAGGTGCTGGTGGGACGCAGCCAGATGCACGGGAAAGCTGGGTAAACTGTGAAGCGCATGAGCACAGCCAGAGGAAAGTGAGAGTCACACGTTGCCTTAGCCTATGTGCGTGTTCATTGGACATGCATATATTCATATATTATATATATGTGTGTCTTGTATATGCACATTGTGTATATGTGTATAGATACCATTTGTTCAGCTATTTTTTTGGCCCAAACAACCACATTATCAGGCCCAGAATCCTCTAAAAAGGTTCTCCTGACATCGATAAGGTGACCCCCGGGAAGTCGTTTTCCCGGTTGGTCCTGTGTCTCAGTTTCTCCATCGGTCAAATGGCAGCTTTGCACAAGCTGATTGCCCAAGACCACCTGAATGTCCTACAGTTTCTGTTTGTTGGCTGGTAAGACTCTGGCCAGACTTGATCTGCTTTTGGTGAGTGCTGTGAGTTGTATCATTCAGACGTGCCAGGGAAAGACATTGAGACACTGTCGGATCATAAATATGAACATCCCAGGAGAGAAGCTCCTGACTCCAGAGGGTCCGAAGGCTCCTGAAGTCTTCCTGAATACTGAAGGTCCACCTCCTTCATGGCCTGCTCCCCTCCTTCCTGCCCCCTTACTCCCTCTCTTCCTTTGTAAACAAATCCTTACCAACCCTCTACTGCGTAGCAGGCCCTGTCTTGAGTCCCAGGAATGCAGGGAGAGCCAAAGTGTGAGGGCATGTCTAGAGGGGTCTACGAACAAAGAAACAGCCAGTCGGGCACAAACACGCTCCAGCGTGCTAGGAGCTCTGAGAGCAGAGTCACAGCGGGCCGAGAAAGCACAGGAGCGGGGGCGCACCTAGCCCAGGCTTGGGGGTCCTGATGGGCGAAGTGACATGCAAGACGAGACCAAGTGAAGGCAGAGCAAGACAAAGGCGAGACAGAGGAGTTCCAGGCAGGGGAACAGCCTGTGCTAAGTGCAGACATGAGAGCGAGCATGGAGTTTTAGAAGAACCGAATGAAACTCGGTCTGGCTTAACAGATTGGCAGGAACCCTCGATTCCCTTGGCATTCTGAAGGGGGCGGGGGACCGTGGCATCCCCCTGCACCCCCTTTAGTCTGGTCGGGGTGCATTTCACCCGGAAGGGCCTTCACACCCACAGGGCACGTCTCAAACACTTTGTGGTGCGGCTGCCCCTCCTTCCCCGTCCTCTCCTTGAGGATCCATTAAAATCTCAGTCACTGAGCTGTACTGCGGCTGCCTGCTGACACCTGCCTAGGCCGGCATCCTGGGGGGAGGGAGCAGGTGAGGAGAAGAAAGGACAGAGAGAGGATTAATTTTCTGCCCAGCACCGCCGTGGGACGCTTCGGAACCTCGGCGTCCCGGCAGCCGCTCCATCATCGCCTTCCTTTTGGGAGTTACGATTTATTAAAAGAGACACCTGGTGGCTATTCATCACGTGACTACCGTGGGCATGAACTCAGAGTTAAGGCGGGAGGCGGAAGGAGGTGGGAGTCTGCCCTGGGCCACATGTGAGAGAGAAAAACATCTGTGAGGTGCCTCCACCTGGAGCCAGGACCAATTCCTTTAAACACAGGTGCTGGTGCTGGTGGGAGACTTCCTTCCGATCCTCTCTAGATGCGCCTGCGCGGGGGCATTCAGGTAGCGATCGTGCACGTCCAGGGCGCTGGTTTCTTCAGCCTCTGCCCACTCTCCAGGCATGTTTCTCCATTGTTCCCTCCCCTCCTCTGAGAGGCAAGCATCTGGAAAATGAGCAGGTCGGTGGCAGCGATCTTGAGACTTTTGTTAGCAGTGAAATGCTCTCTTCGAGTAATTATTCTGTTCTGAAGTTAAACAGATGAGACAGGTAAGCGCGGAGCTGTTAGGCAGCTGAAAACGGTAAGCGCATCGTGGCGGACTCTGTGCAGCTGTAATTTAAAATAGTACCGTGCTGTGAAGTAAACGTGGGGAGTCTGACACGCTTCCTCTTTGCTTGCTGTTGTCCTGGTGGATACCATATCAGCGGGCTTTTGCTGTGTAACAATCCGTCTTCAAACTCAGTGGCGCAGAACAATGACTTGTTCCCAGGAATCCGGGCTCGGCCGGTGGCTCTGCTGATCTTGGCTGGACGCGCCTTGTGCGTCACAGGGTGGGCTGATCTGGGACGGCTGAGGCTGGAGTGACTCGGTTCTGCTCCACTTCTCCGTCGTCCTCCAGCCTTCCGTCCTGGGCTTGTTGTCACATCACGGCAGAGGGGTGAGAGAGCAAGCGGATTCATGCAAGGCTGTGTCGGGCTTAGCTTCGGGAATGGTGTAACATCACTCAACGTGTGTTTTACTGACCAAAGCAACTCATAAGTCCAGGCAGGATTCAAGGGGTAGGGAAATAGATTCCGACTCTTTGGTGAGGGCCATTTATTTAAAATTCACATGGCAAAGGGCACGGATACTTAGAAGTATAGAGGTCATCCAGGGCAATAACTCATATTTCATGCTTTTAGTAAATATCAAGTATTAAAGTCTTTACATTTTTTCTTTTAGTTTTCTTTACTGGAATCCTTGCCTTGTTAGTGTTGGGGACCCAGCATTGCCATCTGGCTGACATGAGGGGGGAGGACCTAGTTCCCTGCCCATTTTGTCCCTCTGTGGCCCCCTCCCCAGAAGCCCTCAGAGAAAAGTCTGGAAACTGTGACTTAGGCAATCTGGGGGAGTAGGAGGCAGGTGCCCTTTCGTGTTTCTCCGGAAGCCTCGTCCTAAATTTGTAAGGGTGGAGACAGGCCAGGTCAGCGCAGACGTCGCCTCCTCAGGGCACCTCCCTCGTCCCTAAACTGAGCCGCCTCCATTGCTTCGGTCACTGCATGGGTCTCACCTACCACTAGACATTTAACATCCCTCCTGTTCAGAAGCGTTCTGCGCCTGCTTACTCTCCGACGCTGTCCCACGGGCCATCGCTCAGCAGTGACTCAGGAGTAGACAAGGCCCCGCCCTTCTGCAGCCTCATCCTGGTTGGGGGGAGGGGAGAAGAGGCAATAGACAGGTAAACAACTCAATTTTTTCCAAGCACAAAGGAATTTTGTTTTATTAATCCAAATAGAGAAGGAACATATAGAAAATAAAACCTTAATGGGAATCACTGTGCACCCGTCAGATTGGCAAAGATTTGCTCTTCCTCCTTTTTACAACATCATTTTTTAAAATATTTTATTTATTTATTTTTAGACAGAGGGGAAGGGAGGGAGAAGAGAGGGAGAGAAACATCAGTGTGTGGTTGTTTCTTGTGCACCTCCCACTGGGGACCCGGCCTGCAACCCAGGCATGTGCCTTGACTGGGAATCGAACTAGTGACTCTGTGGTTCGCAGGCTGGCACTCAATCCACTGAACCACACCAGCCAGGGCTACAACACAATTCAAAAAAAAAAAAGATAATTTGAATTAGTGACGGGTGCAGTGAAGAAAGTGAACCGGGGCCATGGGGGGGACCACAGAGGGCCTCCCTGAGGAGGTGACGTTCGAACCAAGATTTGAATGGTGAGAAGTGGCCACCTGGGGAGCCATCTGGGGAGCTAAGTGTTCCTGGAAGGGGGGCAGCAAGTGCAAAGGCCCTGAGGCAGAGGCAGGGTTTTGGTGTTTGAGATGGAGCAGGGAGCCCAGTGAGGCTAGAGTGTAGTGAGGGGGTGATGAGGCTGGAGCAGGTCAAGGTCAGACGAGGTGGGCCTTCGCAGATGGGCAAGCAGACTGACCTTGACTTCTATTAATGTAAAATTCACAGAACGTAAATTTGACCATTTGGCCGCGCGCAGTGCAGTGGCGTTTAGCACCTTCGCTGTGCTGTGCGACCTCTGTGCAGTTCTGAGCTGTGTTTGGTGTTGGCGAGAAGCCACGGGAAGGCCCTGGGCGAGGGGTGTGAGCACACTCAGTCCGAGTTCGTCCCCAGAGGCCCTGGCTCTGCGGTCTCCCCCGAGAAGACTTACCCAGACACCCGCTTCCCTTTGCCTTGAAACTCTCCCTTCTCCTCTCTTCAGTACAAACCAGCCAAGAGGGGAGGATGGCAGAGGAGGTGGCGGGGAAGGCGGGGCTTTCAGTGTCCAGCGTTGAGCGTCAAAAGGCAATTCCATGCCTGCTGGCGAGATCAGAGCAGTGGAAGTAATAGAGGCTGGCAGCCAACGGGGCACCGGCTCCGGAGGATTCTGAGTTACTGTTCTTTTTTCCCCTGGCGGGGACCAGAATTTCTAGTGGTGTTTAACCCCGCATTCCCACGGGTGACGCGCCTCAGCACCCTGGGGCGTGGGCCATGTCATTAGTGGAGATGATCTCAATTTGCCAGAGACCGCAGCCCTCTGCCCAGCAGCCTCTGATCCTCTGCCCTGTCATGGGGGCTGTGCAGGCAGGCGCTCAACCCCTTTCTGCTGTGGAGGTTAAGTGTGTGGCTACCCAGTTCAAAGCCCGCTTCTGCCACTTCCTGGCCACGTAACCTTGGGCAAGAAGTCTGATTTCTCCATATCTGAGTCTCCTCACCAGGAGATGGATGGCAACACTCCATGCCTTGTAGGGATGGTGCGAGGAGTAAATGAGCTAATGCAGGCCGCAGTAGGGGTGGTGTCAGGGTCAAATGTGGCAACGTGGGTACCCTATAGGTGCTACGTCCATGTTTGCTTTAAAAAAAGGAAAGCCAGGAAGAACACAGGATGAAACTCAAAAAGCTACAGGAGCTTTGGAGGCTGGAAATGTGGATGTTTATGTGAAATCAAAGGACTTTTATAAACCTAGTTGGTAACTAGTTTAAATTTATGGTTTAAAAAAATCTCCTGGCTGGCGTAGCTCAGTGGATTGAGTGCGGGTTGCAAACCAAAGTGTCGCAGGTTCGATTCCCAGTCAGGGCACATGCCTGAGTTGCAGGCCATGACCCCCAGCAACCGCACATTGATGTTTCTCTCTCTCTCTCTCTTTCTCCCTCCCTTCCCTCTCTAAAAAATAAATAAAATCTTTAAAATAAAATCTGTGGCTCAAACCAAACATCTTTGTACCGGGCAAGGGCTGGCGCCCCCCTGGGACCCAGGGCTGCAGACCACCCTCCCTGGCTTCGTTCCACTCCAGCTGTAGGAGTCTACCCTGGAGTCTTTCTCTGCAAACACCACCATCCTCCAGGTCACCGTGAGCTTCCTGCAAATGCCAATCACGGACTGTCTGCCATGTGCTATGCACATGCTAGAAATAGACCCATTGTACTGATGAGCAAACTGAGGCTCTGGGAGAGACCGTTCTTTGGCCCGGAGTCTCCCAGTAAACTCCCAGTTCAGAGTCCCCAGAACTGGGGTCCACCCAACTGGGGTCCGGCCTCACACCTTCCCACGTTACCTTTCAGGCTCCAGACGGGCTGGTCCGTCCACCCCGGTGGTCAGCCCGACAGACAGAGGAAGCAGGAAGAGCTGACGGATGAGGAGAAGGAAATTATCAACAGGGTGATCGCGAGGGCCGAGAAAATGGAAGCAATGGAGCAGGAGCGGATTGGGTGAGTCCTGACACTTCCCGTCCCTTTGGAGAGTTGTGGTGGGGGGGGGGTGGGGGGTGGGGGGGGGGCCAGGAGGTTGCACTGCTCACTGCTCAGGGCAGGTGCTGGAGTGGGCTGGGCTGCACTTCAGCTTTGCCATCCCGTGACCCGCCCGGCCACCCACCTAGGCAGAACTGGAATCCCTGTCACATGAGGTTGGAGAGCTGGAAGAGCAGAGAAGAGGCTGGAGGAGAGGGCAGGTGGGGGGCTGGCTGGGGAGGGAATTAGAGAGGGGGAGTGGCGGGTCTTCTGATGGGGGGGAAGAGATTGTCGTTGGAGGCTGGAGGTGCCTGTGTGTGAGCCAGTTTCAGCCTCATAGAAATGTGTTCCAGAGACACTGGCCACGTAGAGGCGTAGAGGCGAGGTGAGGAGGAGAGAGAATCAGAGACTGTACGTAAGAGGGAGGACACGCCCCACATGAATTATCTGAGACCCAGAGAAACCAGCCCGGAAAGGGAGGCCAGGGTGATGGTGAGCGGCAGCGGTTCCCCTGGCAGGTCTGGGCTCCAGCCCCCCAGCTCCATCCCATGCCCCGCCCGCCCACCTGCCTGCCCGCCCGCCCGCCGTGGGTCCTGGGCGCGCCACTCACCTCTCTGAGCCTCGGTTTGCTCACTGGTAGGATGGGGAGCATGCCAGTCACTGTGCACAGGGATGTTGTCTGGAATAAGTGCAGTGATTTAAATACAGTTCCCGGCCCTGGTGATACTTTGTGTTTAATAAATGGTAGGAAGAAGGAAAAATTGGGGTTCAGAGGGCAGAGGTTTAAAAAATGCGTATGGGAGAGAAGCAAGGACATGAGAAGGATGTGTGACAGTTGTGACAGAGTGACCAAATCCATGAGCAGGGACAGCGTTACAGAGAGGGGGAGCAGTGCGGGAGTGGAGTGGGGGAATGTGAGTGATCCTCAGAGGGAGGCGTGAGGGGAGGGGGACAGAGAAGGGGAGAGGAAGGGTCTGGGGAGCGCTCGGCATGGCTGGGGGCTCTGGCTGCCAGGAGGTGGGGAAGCCACCAACTGGTCCTCTGAGACTGGACCCTGAAATGAGAGACGGGAAGAGGTGGGGTGGCACCTCCTCCAGCCCCCTCCCCGGGCCTTTGTGCCAGGGGCCGCCTTTGCCAACTGCCTGCAACAGATCTAGGCACTGAGGTGCCTGTGTATCCCCTCGCCCCCACACTCAGCTTGGGGTTCAGCAGGCTCTTGGGTGGGTAATGCTGTTACAGACAGGCAGGAAGTGCGCGCCTTTGATTTGAGCCCCTGCAGGTAACTCAGGGCAGACTGGGGAGATCAGAGGTGCAGCTGACAAAGGACAGAGACCCGCCGCCCGCCCGTAGCCTGTGTCTGCCTCCTCGTGAGGTCGCTGCAGAGGCAGGTCTTTGAGGGGCCTGCTTACAGGGCTGAGTTTTTATTTGGCTTTTTAAGATGGATCAGGAGTGAGGAGCTGTCCAGGCTGGAAGTCTGTGAGTGTGTGTGTGTGTATGTGTGTGTGTGTGTGCGCGCTTGTGCGTGTCTCTGTGTGTGTTCACTTCACCCACCAACGGGCCTGCCCCTTGCAGGGAAGAGAAACGTACGTGTTAAAGATAAACCCTTAGATGCAAGACCTCCTCTCAGCCTTTTTCCTGCATAGCGCTTACCACCAGCCAACATATTTTGTATTTACCTGTTTGCTTCGATGATTGTTCATTTCTTCCTGTTAGACGATAAGGTTCCCCAGGGTAGAGATTTTTGCCTGTTTTGTTCACCACTGAATCCCCAGAGCCTCGTACATAGTAGGTGTGCAGCAAAATGTTTGTTGAGTGAATGAGTGAAAATGGCAGGCGGTGCTGCCTCCTCATCTCTCTCTACATCTCCTGTGGCCAAGAGGCTGGAGAGTTTGGACTGTTGTTGGAGCCCAGGGTCCAAATTCCCAGGGAAGGCGCTCTGATTGGCTGGCTTGTGTCGGGTGCTCTTTCTCTCTCATCCAATCAGCTATGCTGCCCATGTTATAGAAACATACATGGCTGTTGGTCTGACTCTAGGAGTAAAGTTAAGGGGTGGGTGTCTCTGTGGGCTGAAAAGATTCTAGTTTGAACATTCTAGAACAGGGTAGATGGGTTCCCGGCCTTGTCCTCCGTGTCTTATGGTACTGCCCTTGGCTAACCTGGTGACATGATGGCTCATCCCTGGGGCCCCAAAGTCAGGAAGACCTGGGTTCAAATTCCAGGTCTACCACTTCCCCTCTGTGTGACCTTAAGTAAGTCATTTACCTCCCTGTGCCTCAGTTTCCTCATCTGCAGTGTGGGGACAGTATTAACATATACTTCTCAGGGCTTAACATGCCAGGGATTTGCACGGTGCCTGGTCCAGAACCCACGCTTCATCAATAAGGCATGGCAATCACTTAACAATGAGTCTGAGTCTGCTGTGGAAGCCAACTTTCTGCCAGTGGCCCCGACCTCCATTCTAGAATTATGTCCCGAGACTCCCATTTGGCAAGCCCTGGAGGGGCAGCAGCCCGTGCCGTCCACTGAGGCGATCGGAGAGGCTTCCAGGGAGGCTGGGGCCAAGCTCTCAGTGACCGAGTCTCCCTGTGCCAAGTGGCTGCGTTTCCCGCCGGAGCGGAGAGGGCAGGCGGCTGCTTCCCCACGCCCTCCCCACGGGGAGGCCTCGCCAGCACACCTATTTGTGTCTTATGAGCTCCAACCCACCCTCGTTCCAGTCCTTCCCACATTTCCTGGGAGAGGGTCAGAGAGGAGTGGTAACAGCAAAGCGACGTATCAGGCCTGGGGCGAGGCTGAAAACAAGGTGCCATCGGGGCCCCCACTTCAGAAGCTGAGGCTCTCAGTGCATCAGCTTTGGGAGCCTCGGTGTCTCCACCATCCAGCCAGGCGGGTCCGTCCGAGTCTGCTCAGACTACGGTGTGTGTGTGGGGGGGGGTGGGGGGTGTTGGCTGGAGGACCCCTGCATGTGGTGGGCTGCCCCTCTCAGAGTGATGGAGCTCCTTGTACCTACGTTACATTTGCGATGAATCTGTGTCCCCTTCTGGTCCCAGACACCCAGCTCTGAGCTGCTGAGTCCTCTCTCCTGTTGTCCGAGGGAAAGCCATCTAGAGAGGTGCGAAATCATCGTTCAGGAACACAACAGATAATCACCACGATGGGTACCGTTTATCGAGCCCTCGCTGTGTGCCAAACACTGAACCTGACACGTCATATGGATTGGCTCCCTAACTGCTTTTCTCAGCCCTGACAAGTAGGTGCTAGCATCATCCCCATTTTGCTCACGGGGTCAGGTTGCCTGCCTGAGGTCACGCAGAGTCAAGATATACATCCGGTTGGACTGACTCAGAACTACACACTAGACTATCAGGTGCCCTTCCTGTAGGCCTGACCCCAAAGGTCTAGACTGCAGGACATGGACATTTTAAAAGCTCGGGGTTGAAGGGGCCCTTTTGGGAGCCAGAAGCTGGAGCCCCTTCCACGCTGGCCCTGTCCCTTTCAGACCTGATTAACCTGTTGGTGCGTCCACAGCTGGTCTCCGTGTTCCTGTGGCTCTGAGAGTCCTGGGGGAGACTCACGCTCCGGCCTCCCAGGAGGTGCTGCCTTTCTGGGGCAGTTTTGCCAGAGTCAGCCGCCCTGCACAGAGCCCCAGGAGAACGCAGCAGGTCCGAGCTGGTTCCCCACCTGAATCCTCTTTGCTTCCGCCTAAACCTCTGATCACCGCTCAGCCCACAATCCGGCTCTGCTCCCCAGAGGGAGACGTGACGGCCAGAAGGGAAATTCATGAAAAACCGCCTCATCTCACCCCCACGTTCCTTATTCACGCGCTAAGCGGGATCTCAGAGTTTGTCACGTTCCCTGGCAGCTGCAGGCCTTCTACCTTCCTTAGGACCCTTGGCTCGCAAGAACAGAAATGAATTCCAGCGAGGCGGTTGCAGCTTTCTATCGCTGCGTAGCAAAGCATCCCAAATTGAGTGACTTAGAGCAACCACAGTATATGACTTCTCACGGTTCTGTAAGTTAAGAGTTCAGACAGGGCTCTGCTGGGCAGGTTTTCCGCTCCACGCGGCGTGGGCTGAGGTTGCTGACTCAGCTGCATTCGGCCGGCGGCTGGGCTGGACTGGGAGGTCCAGGAAAGCTTTGTGCCCAGGTCTGTGCCTCACGGTGGTCTATGTGGTCCCTCTCTTTCCTTACTCAGTAGTCTGGCCTGAGGTCCTTTGCGTGGCAGCTGAATCCCAAGAGAACAAAGGTGGTGATTGCCAGGATCCTTGACAGCTCGGCCTGAAACCTGTAGGGTATTACTCCACCATATTCTATTGGAGAGGAGAAAGGGATCCCATCTGCTCGTGGAAGAAAGACTTATGCACCCACAGGAAGGGGTTAATCCTGGTCGTCTTGGGAGGCCCTGTCACCTTATACAACAAGGGGAATTTAATATAAGAATTCAGAGCTGTCTCGAGGGGTCGGAGCTGAGCCCCATGAAAAGTCTGTTCCTCATCCCACACGGCAGATAACGTAGCCATGCTCCATTTCCCCAGTTGTTGTAGCTCCTCTTGGTCCCACTCCCAAACTCCCAGGGGAGGAACTCCGACTGGCTCCGCTCACCCTGAGTGCCCACCCCTCATCCAATCGGCCACGGCCAGAGGTGCCAGGCTGCACGGGTGCCGAGTGCCGCTCCTGAGTGTGCAAAGGGCTTCTGTGGGTGGGACACGCTCCCACGAGGTGTCCGCAGGACCTCTAGATACATTAAGGCTGGAGTGGAACGTTTGCTCGGGAAAATTTGTTTTTGTGGGTCCCGGTTTTAATCCTCCCCCCAGTGGTAGGACCCCTCTGCGTCCTTATCATATTTCCTTCTACCCAGAGCCTCTCAGAGCCATTTGCTCACGCGCCCTGCCTGCGCAGGGCCAAGCAGCCGGGTGGCTTCCATCTGAGATCAGCGTCCCTCAACAGATGGGCCCCCAAAAGCAATTAGGACTTGTCATTGACCT